TAAGAGCTTTTCAAGAGAGTTTCTAGCCTGCCTGTGGATCTTTGCACAAAGCCCAAACTAGTCCTCTGATGAGAAATATAATAAAGTGATGAAGTGTTCCATCCCTTAAGGAGAAATTGGCTTGGAAAAAAATACTGTTTGTATGTAGCATTGAAGCTAAAGAAAAATTGAAGCCATGAAACCAAATGTTTACATCAAGTGTAATTGAATTTCAGCTTTTGCTAGTCTATATATTTTAAATAACTTCCTATTATAAAGCTATCCTACTCAAAAAAAAAAATCACGTATGATTTTACAGAGGAGGTGTATACTAGGCAAACAATATCAAATCATTTAAATTGAGAATGCTATCTTTTTCTTTTTCTGAAAATATCACTGTAATCTCTGGCAGCATTCACGAATCTAGTGTTGGGTGTAAGCTTAAGGAAGCATGGGAAGAATTTGGATTACTAAGGGTTCATTCACAAAGTTTGCTTGTCTGTGTTGCAAAGAGGCTTTGCCATTTCCTCTGGGACCTTATTTCTAGGTGAGCTCTAACAGGGTTCTCTTGTGAAGGCAGATTCTTAACAGAAAACTATAATAGGATCTGTGTACCTTAGGTTGTAGAGACACGTTTGTCTTTGAAATAGTGTGCTTCTGTTTGTGGATATAATGTCTAATTCCTTTTCAATCTTGTAACTCCTGGGGCCACACTGTCCCTCAGGAACTATTTAATCTTCTTATCTGGACTGAACAATCAACTTGATAAGGAGACAGGGAGACTCCAAGGGTCTTGGGATATAAAACCTTGGAGGGAGGATAACCACTTCTCTTCCTTTGTTGGTGACTTTTTCTTAAGGACTGAAGCATTTCCGATTTGAGTTGTTTTTCTCAGTAATGTTAAGAGAGTTTTGTTTTCTGGGAAATTTTGGTTGCTGGTAAACCAAGCTGCTGTCCAGACTGTAGGAGGCAGCCACAGAATGCATCATAGACTCTTGACAGGTTTGGGCTGAGATCCTAAAATCATGCATCACTCTCATTTTGTATATAAGAGCTAAGGTGACTTCACCAGACTGCTATCTGTTATCAAGAGCTGAGAATGAACGTCTAGATTCATCTACTATATCATAGCTGCCTCTGGCTCAACAGAAACAACTCCCTTATGGGAATCAGATGCTGAAAATCCCACTAAACCAAGCTCCCTAACTCTCTCCCCAGCCTAAACCCCAAATATAAGCTATCCCATTCCTTGATGTGTCTCATCGTGCAGCCCGCTCTTATCATACTCTGCATTACTAGAATGTAAGAGATACCCCTGTCTGCTCCTCCGTGGCAGTGTCTGCCTTAATTTGAACCCAGCTCAATATAAGTGGGCCATTCATAAATGCTTTTTGATGAGAGCAGTGATGGCCTTTAGTCTAACCCTCCCTTAAGGAAGGAGAGAAACTGTTGCTATGCAATATTTAAAGGATGGAGTCAGTTTCTAATACTGAGTGACCTCCATCTGCAGACTTCATCATGTTATGGTTGCCTTAAGGTGACGTTGGGTTTCGGTGGCACTGTCATGCCCTTAGCAAGATGCTCATGTTGTTTGTTGTTTAGTCACTAAGTCTTGTCCAACTCTTTTGTGACCCCATGGACTGTAGCCTGCCAGGCTCCTCTATACATGGTACTTCCCAGGCAAGAATACTGGAGTGGGTTGCCATTTCCTTCTCCAGGGGATCTTCCAGACCCAGGGATGGAACCTGCATCTCCTGCGCTGCAGGTGGATTCTTTACCACTGATCCACCAGGGAAGCCCTAAAGGCTCACCGAAGAACTAACTTAGGCAGGAGAAGGAGAGAGGCAGTTTTCACCTGTTACTTCCATGGGTTCCCGGACCCTCTGTGAGCTCTGCAGGAAAGGTGAGGAGTCTGGTTTACTCTCAGCTCTGTATCTTAGAGCCACCTCCCTGTTCCCACGCTGGGACTGATTGACACTGTATAGCAACAGGATCCTCTGGCAATGAGAGGAAATAGGAAAAACGTAAGAAGGGAAGTCTCTCCTAGTCTATTATGATTGAATTTCTACCTGCTCTTATATTCAGAACTGAGGGGCCAATGTGGCCAATAAAGAATCAGCCCCACCCTCACCTGAAGTTAACTGCGGTGGTTAAGGAAGAGGCCCTAATATATCTGATTATTTCTACTTGGGTGAAACCGATTTAAAGCATGAAAAGTGTTTTTTGTTTGTTTGGAGGAGTTTTTGTTTTTGTGTTTTTACTGCTATATCCACAATGCGTTGCTTGGCATGTCTCGGGTGTCCATTAAATATTTATGAAATACATGGGATGAAACAACATTATTCAACTAGTACGAACCTTACTGATGCCAAGATCTTCCTAAGTTTTTCCAAGAGATTAAAGGAACTAAAATGAAGATGACTGTGTGAATGTTGCATTTGGCTAAGTCTAGCACAGAGACATGATTAAAGATATCATCTGTCTCTGTTTTCTACAAGATATTTTTTGCAGTGTTCCTAGTAAAGTTTGTTTCTTTGCCAAAATTCAGCTGATCCATCAGAGCACAGAAACCTGTCTTTTTCAGTTTCTAAGTCTTTAGTGTAAGTGCCTATCTTTTGAGAACTGAAAATGAGAGGCGATTATGACTGAGTGGTTGTGTCTTAAAAAATAAAGAACTTAGAACTTACACCTGGAAGTTCTGATTCACCTGGAGTTCAAATTGCAGAGTGGTTCAATAAGTAAAACACACTAGCTCAGATGATTAATTCAGAGATTTCTGGTGACTGTCACTAACATTTGTATCATGGGAGGGAAGACCCACATGTCCACCAGCAGGGTTCCCCAGAAAGAGGGCGATAGTACATGCCTCTTTGAGGACAGTTCCTAGAGCGGTGAGCCAGAGGACCACAATACTGACTTGCATTGGCTTCACCTCGAAAAGCTTGGTATCCTGGGCACAGGCAGTGGTGTGAAGTGGGCCTGGATGCTTGATGCGAAGCCATTGCCAGTGCAGGATGCTCATTTGAAAGGGGAATACCTCACAGGAAAGAGAGCCAATTGCAATTGCGTGCAGGGGCTGTTGCCATGGTGCTTCGCTATTGCTTAACATGCTGTACTTGAACTCCTGGAAGTCCAGGGGAAGGAGGGGAGTAGGATGGGCCTGGGTGGGGAATCCCACTGCAGAGCTCTAGTCTCTGACTTTCTTCATGCCTGTGATCTTTCTGAAGCTGACAAGGTGAGAGAGAGAGAGAAAGAAAGAGACACTATAGGAAAGAATTCCTCAACACGCTCCATATTGCAAAAACAAAACAAAACAAAATAAAGATTAAGTTAACTCTTAAATATTTTCTTCATGAATTAGAAGATGTAACACTGAAATACCGAAACAGCACAGTCATTCATAACCCCGAATAATTCTCCATTCATGCAGCAAACGATAGCTTGTATTTCCTAACACACTCCAGATCCTAAATGGAAAGGTTAAATGTGTTTAATTCATTTGTCGAATGCAGTCTCATGTACATATTAATGAGCGGATGGAGGACAGAGAATTGCATTCTGTGTACGAAGTACTTTTAAAATTAAATAGATTAATTCCCAATCATTTCATTGTGAAAGAAGTCTAAATGCACTGACCTGCCACTGGTGTGCAAAAAATCCCCCGAAAAGCTAGCTTAAAAAAATATTCTCATATTCTGAAAGTCTAATTTGAAAATCAGCAACAGTTTTAACTTTTTCAACGTTCAGAAATAATAAAACACACCATCACTTGGAAACCCTTAAATCGGCTGAGCTCTATGTAAAGGCTGTGTCTGCAATGTCCGTGTCTCCGCAGTGGAGAGGGTTAAGAACACCTAGATGAAATGGGGGAGGGTACAGACTTCGGATTCCTTAAATATTCATGGAGCTTCCTCCATTTTAATCTTCTTCTTTTAAAAAGATGGCTGTGTTTCCCAGCCTGGCATCCCCTCAGGAAAGAAGACTTGCTCCTTCCTTGCAGAGTTCAGCTGAGCAGGACTAATCTAGAGTGGAAACCCCTTCGGCCACCAGGACTATTCATAATTCATAAGTGTTGCAAACCAGCAAGCTGAATGCATTTGGACAGGCTCTTGCTCCTTCGTGCAATTCCTGATTTCATTACTCTCTCTGCCAGGAAAGAAGCAGGGAGCACAGGCGAAGATGGGCTTTGTTTGGATTAGGAAATGCCCTAAATTTTGGAGGCTTTGTCTTTCATAAGTTTTGATTATTTCACCACTGAATCTGCAAGGCTTTCCCGGTCCTGTTGGGACTGCTCTCAGAACTGTGAATTCTTTCAAAGGGATTTGTGGACTGTGGCAAGGAGTGCTTTCCAAAATGCCTGAGGCAAACTACTTGTTATCTGTATCTTGGGGTTACATCAAGGTGGGTTAACTTGATTCCATTATCTTTGGTAGCATGTGAAACCTTTACAGCTGTGTGTTTTCTGTGAAGTAGAAAAGCCTCTGTAATGATTTAACTGTGTTATCACTTAGCCTGCTGAGGCGGCTTATTGTGAAGTAAGGACATGTTATATTGTATTTAAATAGACTGTGCAGTATATTAACCCTGTTCCTTTTACTCATCTCTATTTTTAAAGGATGCTTATCTTTTATTTTGTCTTCCCTTGAATTTTTCACATTTAATCACCTCTTACTGTATAGGTTATTAAATTATATTTTAGAGTTAATTTTCAATATATTTTAAAATGTGGTTACATTTTTAACTGAAATTATCTTAACTGCTATTAAAATTCCTTTTCCTATGTTTACATCTTCAAAAGAAATCAGATGTTAATTCTAAGACATCCTGAGAAAACCTCTTTTTTCTAAGGTGACGTTGGAACAATTTCACATTAAGGGGATATTGTATTTTGTAGAAACAGAGTTATTTATCTAATGGTATCTGCTTACCCAGCTTCTTGGTTCTTAATAAAGTTGGAAGCATCTAAAATAATAATTTGCTATTTTTGGGGTGGTTAATACATTTTTGTTCTTTATAAACAGTTCAAAAGAATGCTGAACCGGGAGCTGACACACCTTTCAGAAATGAGCCGATCAGGGAACCAGGTGTCTGAATACATTTCAAATACTTTCTTAGGTAAGATATTCACCAAGAAAACTGTTCCATAACTGAATTTTTTTTTAATATTAATTTCTGCAACCTATCTGGGAATATTACTATGTGAGTTTGGAACTGGGTTAAGTCACAGAAAAGCAAATCCATTTAAAAGAAGAACTAAAGACAACCTTTAAGGTAAAAAAAAAAAAAAAAGCAAGAAAGAGAGAAAAGAAAGCAAGAAGGTTTTGTTTAAAAAAATGAATTAAAATATCCATCAGAGAGAGAAGGTTATTATGGGCTAATTGAATTTATATAGACTTCAGGTCACTATCTACCCACCCACCTTCATCTCTGTCAAGACCTCTGAAAGGGTGGGAGCGGGGGGTTGTGATCATCCAAACCTTAGGGACAATTCCAGTTGGCTCCTCTGATGTGGTATTCTTTCAATTCTTCCAATAACTGGGCTTTGAGCAAAAGGTGATTTGACCCATGATAATAGGCTTTGGAAACTGTTTGACTATTGCTTTGCTAAGGTGTTTCTTAAAGATAAATTGGAGGAGGGCAGAAAGAATCATCACCTCTATGAGTTGCCCTTCTGCAAGCAGCATGCTTATCTCCCTGATTTCATACTTAACCTTTTATCCTCTGCCTTCACATTGCTAGTATTTTAAAACATGGCACTGACAGGAAGGGTTTGCAGCCATGCCTGGTAACTACTGTCATGCATCCTGTTTGATTGCTAGGAATTTCTAATCTTGTGTTTAAAGCCATTCCATTGCATATTTTTCTTAAATCAGGCCTGCAGGATCTGCCCATCTGTACTTCAAAGTGAATGGGTAGAATTTAGACCCTGATCCTGTTGACTTTCAATTACCACTGCACTATGCTTATTTAGCAGAATTCCATTTTCCAGGGAAATGACCTGTTCTTACAGTTGAACATTATACCTCCCTTCTTTTTGGCATTGCTACATACCCTTATATCAGTGAACATTGCCTGGACATCTTATGGAAACACATACCTCTTCTAGTTTTATTTTAAAAAACATTTCTATTTCCCTAACACCAAAGCAGTTCCTGCTATCAGCAGATCAGTCTTTGATCAGCCTAATACAAAGCTCACAGCACTTCTCTGTGGCCAGTGGGCATTGGCGTGATTGACAAGTGCCTTTCCAACTATTTCCAGTATGTGGGTGTCTGCAGCACCTGGTTTTCTCCAGCAGAAGTTGCAACAACCTTTGTCAGAGAATAGAGAAAAGATTTTTTCATATAGCCTAGCTCCAAGAGGAGCTAGAATCTAATCGAAAAGAAAGCATTATATACTGATCCTTATCTTCTCCCTTATTCCCACTTTATTCCTCTGAAGACAGGCATCTTCTCCTGTCCATTCTAAATATGCTCTGCTCTGTGAAACACCCAATCATTTTTCATAACCTAGGGACTGTTTTAGGGACATTTTACAGGTTAATGACTATGGTAAAGAAGAATAAAATCCGTAGGTGCAAAACGCATTTTTGTTTGTGTAAACATTGCGTGTTAAGATACCAAGGTTTGCCTGACTTCTCTAAAGAGACTCTGGGCACTGGAGTAAAGCTGCAGGAATCTCTGAGCCTGTCATCACCCAAGGTTGCACCTAAGAGTCCTCTTTACTGGTCGCCTCTTTCACTAATGGCTTGCCAAGGACCATGAGAATATTTTAGTATACCAATTATTCTTATTTTAGCATCGAAGGCTATCAAGTGAGAAAGCTGAGAAGATAATAAAAATGAGTTCTCAGTCTCAACACTGCATCTCAAGAACTAAGAACTGTCAATTCTGTTGAATATTTCATTTGCTATTGAGGCGTATCTCTTGAGGAAAGCCTATCATCTGGCTTCTCATTACTCCAAAATTAAACTATCAAGAGCAGGTTGTTTGAGGAAGGCTGTTAGTATCTCAGTCCTTGCGCACCTAGCATTTGGAGGGTGTTGAGTATGAGCATGTGTTTGTGTGTGCATTTGTATACATGAATGTGTGCATATACAAGGTAGGCCTGATCAAACTAGACAGATGGATAAAAATTTTAAATACTCTTCAGAAAATTTAGGGAGAAAAAAGTCCATCATATAAGCAAAAGATTCATCAGCTACCTCGGTTGTAAAATGGGAATACTGGAGTAGATGACATCCTCAGTTCATTCCAGCTCTCACTTTCTGTGACTCTGGTATGGATGGAGTTTATCGTCTTACTAAGACAAACCTGTCAACCCAGACTCTTTGGAATGGATTGTAGGCTTATACTTTGATAATATTCAAAAGCAAACAAACCTTGTTTCCAAATAGCAAGCGCAAGACATGGAACTCTACCTTCTGTCCTGTGAGCATGGTGGGTTTTCCTGGAGGACTATGAAGTCTTCTTCATAAAATGTCAGATCTGAAAAGGACTTGAATGGCTTCATCTAGTTCCCTCATTTTCCAAGAAAGAGAGCTGAGGAACAGAAGGCAACTTAGCTTGACCAAATTAATTTGTTGGCTAAAATGTTCCAGAGTTAGAACTAGGACTTTGCTCTCTTGACTCCTAAATCTAAATACCTGTCACTTCTTTGGGAAAGAAGGTTATTAGGCTGTCAGAACATATAGAAGAAAATCGCCTTTAAGTAATAGATGTGTTCTTTGGAGAAAAGTCTTTAGGAATCAGGATTGCTGTACCTAACAATAAAATATTTTATTAACAGCTTCCAGTAATATAAAAGGCTCTTAGAGCACAGATCCAAGAGTAAAAAATGATAAAACCTTATTGATTACAGTTAAACTTGAAGAACAATATTGCAATAAGAGTCATTGAAAGTTACAATATGTCAGCCAGGACAGAGGGAAACCCCCCACTGCAGGGATCTGTGAAACTTGTGTTGTTTCATTTAAGAGGATGGTATCCAGATGAACAGCCTGAAAGGCAGGTGAGAGGCAATCAGTGCAGGCACTCTGTGATACTGACATAGGATAATGGGCTCAAGTTGCTTGTACAGAAGGAAGTAAGGAGTCAGGGGGAAGAAGCATAGATTAAAGCAAGATCCTTAGATATGATATTACAATTTAGTTAGTATTGCTACAAACAGAGCAAAGTCACCCCTTTAAATCCCTGACTTACTGTCAGGGATTGAAAATCTTTCCTACATCTTGAAAATCTTGAAAAAGAACTTAGGAATTTTGCAGGATTAAATGCTGCAACCTAGCTAAGAAAGCACCTCCAATGATGTCATTATCAGAGTCTTGATGTGACCATTTCTTGCTTCTGTTTATTTACTTATTTATTTTGTACAGTTCCACTGTTTCCACGTTGTAATCTGATCATTCTATAAATGTAAATTCAAGAAGTGTTTATTATGATTCTTTGAGTGTCTGTTTCAGGTTATTTCCGTATGGCACTGGCTAAGCATTTAATAGAGGGAATTCAGAGTAGGGAAACCCATCAGTTGTTCCAATGCCTGCATAGGGAAACACCCATTAATGTCAAAATGGTATTCTCTGTGGGTAATGGGTTTCTTCTTTATTGTAACATTCCAGACAGAGTAGTGGTTTGGCTCAATGACTCGCTGTTGCAGGGAATCTTTAATTAAACACAGAGAAAAACCTGCTAGTTTCACTACAGATTTTTGTATCTGCATTGGCACAGAAGAATCCAACAGCTTCTTTAACCAGAATGGTAAAGAATGACATTAGGAGAGGCAGGGGCTATAGTGGCCTTTTAGCAAAAGTAGTCGTTATTAAGAGTGAGGTGACAGGGAGAAAAGAAAATTCAAAAACAATGCCATATATAGTTTTATGCCAAAGACTGAAAGACCAGAAAGAGATTTTAATGGGAACCTTAAGGGGCCTGAGTTCTATGCTATTAAATTACTGTCTGGAACAAGGTAATTGCAAAATAAATATCTGTTGAATAAATTGCCCTTTGAGCTTGGGAAAGTTGCTGACCATCTGAAAACTGAGTGTGTGGGATTATTATTGGTTCCCAAACCTGGCTCTGACCATCAGAGTCTCTTGGGCAGCATATTTAAAAAAAATTGGTTCAGTAGGACTGGGTGGGGCTCATAAGTCTGTATTTTTCAAAAGTTCCCTGGGTGATGCTAAACCATGTTGGAAACCCCTAAACTAATCAAGATGACCACTAAAATTCCGAGGAGTTGGGGGACACCCAGAGAGCACTGAGATTCCAGGGGCAGAGAAAAGCCTTGCTCCAGCCCTGCAACCAGGTGCCCAGGGTCCAGAACAGCTGCTTCCGCGTCTGTCTCTGGGCTCGCTTTGCTCTGATGAGTTGTCCACAAGGTCCTGTGAGCAGGCAGAGGTCTCTAGGGAGAACATGTGACTATGCCATCAGTTGCCAGAGTTGAAAGCAAATCATCTAGATCCCAGCAGGCCATCTGGAAACGTGTCATTTTCAAATGGGGAAGTTGTCTTTGGATTCATTTTCGCTGAAACAAGTAGAGATAAATGTAGGAACTTTTGGAAGCTGCATTAACTCTTTCAGCCACAGCGTCTCATTTAGTTCAGTGACGTAGCTGTCGAGTGCTTTAATAAATGATAGCCTCGGTGCACCCACAGGCATATCTGTGGCCTGAGAGAGTTGATGCATTTTGCAGAACTCTCTGGATCCATCCATCCCCCTGTGAAGTGAGATAGAATATTTGATTGCTGATGTTTTTAATCTCATGACATAGAAGAAAGAGCTTCTGAGCAGGTAGACATGTTTCTGTCACTAACCCTAGCTCTCCTATTATCTTGTTGTAGCAAAATTTTTTAATAGATTAAATGAGATGATTATAAATATTTAACATGCATATTTTAATAAATGTAATGCCTATTACAAATGAGAGGCATTATTATTATTTATTCCTGGGATTCATAGATTCAAGTCATGAAGTAATACTGAAAGTATTGTCTTTGTCTAAACCTCAAATGGTAATAAACCAAAGCTTTAATCATTCAAAGATTATAAACCATTCATTTTTCTAATATATATATGCCACTCATCTAAACTGAACCCAGCTACAGTTATATGGATCTTTTAAATTAAAAAAATAAATACAAATATAACAAAGTTAGCAAAACATAAAGCCTGTGCTTTATTAACCTGGGCTTGGGTACATGGAAATTTTTTATTATATACACAGACAAGTTATTAGAAATTTACATATAAATGTTGATGTCACACCTTGAAAATGTATGAGTGTAATTCCCCCAAATCACCCTGCAAACAGAAGACCTGGGATTGAGTTCCACCTGTCATTCTTGAACAAGTGATTTAGCTCCTCTGGACTTCAGTTTGCTGCTTTCAAGATTAAATCACCTATCACAGGATTGTCCTGGAGGTCAAGTGAGATAGTGCTAGGACAGCCCTTCCTAAGGTGTGCTATCCATGACAGACCATTAGAAGTTGTTTTGAATATTGCAGTGGGTTTTCACTGGCACACAGGGATTCTCGTTGGCACACAGGGGTTCTCATTGGCATGCAGGGACTGAAAAACCAATTTTTTTGTTGTTGTTATTGCAGACAAACAGAATGACGTGGAGATTCCATCTCCCACCCAGAAAGACAGGGAGAAAAAGAAAAAGCAACAGCTCATGACACAGATAAGTGGAGTGAAAAAACTGATGCATAGTTCAAGCTTAAATAATACAAGCATCTCACGCTTTGGAGTCAACACGGAAAATGAAGATCATCTAGCCAAGGTGTGTACAAGCTGGGTGTGTGCATGTGTAGCACTGCTTTACAGGAGACAGATGTCCAAAACCTCCTATTAGAAAATGGTAGTGGCCGCTTTTGCTTTATTGTTAAATAGTATGATGAGGCTGATGTACCCTCTTTTTCCATTGCTGTACACCTAAAGACCCTTTTTTTATACCAAAAGACCAGATTTTGCCCTGAGTTGGGTCCATTAACTCACAAATGGAGAATCTTGTTGAACACATATTAGGAGAATCCAAGGTAAGGGCAGTAGGCAGGACTGAATTATCCCAGAGGGTATTTCAGAGACTGTATGCCAAGGATCAGTAAGAAAATATGCACTGATTAGCAGAATTGGAGAAGAAATGAGAGAAATTAACAGCAGTGACTCTTGCTTGAGCCTAAAACCTAGTAGTGGAGGAAGGCTCAGAAAGAATTCATACCCCCTCTTGGAGGCTATACAAGGTGACTTTTCAGCCTTGTGAGAATACGAAATGAGATCAAATGAACATTCAGTGAGGGGGCAGCTGAAACATGTCATTAGAGGAAGGTTGATTACATATCGGACCAAGACTCTACGGAGAGCCTGTATCCCTAATGTGTGCATGCTAAGTCGCTTCAGTCATGTCTGACTCTACAGCCCTTTGGACTGTAGCCCACCAGGGCTCCTCTGTCTATGGGATTCTCCAGGCAAGAATACTGGAGTGGGTTGCCATACCCTCCTCCCCCTGCATCCCTTACTCTGGGCAATAATTAATAATAGAACAAATTGCTCCTTTAATCAGATAATCTTGGAATAATCCTACAATACAGGATGGAATGATGTTTCTTCCAAGTCTTTCTGTAGCCAAGAAGCTCTAGGAGATAATGGGTGACTAGCATCTTCATGACCTTTTACACTAAATTAGGGTTGATTCACACACATTCTAGCAGCTAAGTCTCCTTGACCTGGTTCTCAGTGATAATTACCAAAGGGCAGAGGAGTTTTCTAGCTGAGATTGTTTTCTAGTTGGTACTGATGGACCAGTGAGCAGAGAAGAGGAGATACAGGGAAATAGGGCTAGGATGACCTCTGATCACTTGTACCTACTTCTGAGAGCAACATTGGTTGAGGACTGACATGGCAGAAAAATTATAGGCCAGCAGCCAAATTTACAAATAGACACACACTCTCCCTCTTTTGAAAAATATATACGAAAACATGTAATTAGCATGAAGAGGACACCCAACCTCCTCGACCATTCCATTTTCAAATGTTCATGTAACTGGAACACTAAGTAGATACTCTATAGACTTAGTCAACTTGTGCCCCCAAAATAAATGAAAACAATGAGGCCTGCTAACAAAAGTGTTTTTATTTCTAAATTTCTCTCATTTTGATGACAGGAGCTGGAAGACCTGAACAAATGGGGCCTTAACATCTTCAATGTGGCTGGATATTCACATAATAGGCCCCTAACATGCATCATGTATGCCATATTCCAGGTGAGTAAACAGGAGTGAATGTTGGTTATCCAATTGGATGTTCTTTATGTTTTTTTTTCCATCCCAGTTTACCTTTCTGATTTGGCTTTTCTTCATTTTTGGACATCCACTTATTTATTTTCTAACCCATTTTGCTGTATAGGAAAGAGACCTCCTGAAGACATTCAAAATCTCATCTGACACCTTTGTAACCTACATGATGACTTTGGAAGACCATTACCATGCAGATGTGGCGTACCATAACAGCCTACACGCTGCTGATGTGGCCCAGTCAACCCATGTTCTTCTTTCTACGCCAGCTTTAGACGTGAGTAGTTACGATCTGTCTTGCATACCTTGCCCATCCTCTGAAAAGTACCGTAGAAAGTATGATATATAGAGAGAAATAATGTGATTAGATGATTGTACATACTTGAATTGGCTCTTTATATTATGTGTAACATGTATCAATCAGGTTATTAATATAAATGGATGACATTTCTACTTGCTTTCTGGTATTAGGGTAGCCTTTCCTTTGCCTCTTTCACATTCAAAAAAATATTTAATTATCAAGCAGGTAACAGGGAGCTTTATTTTTCATTGTGTCTCCAGTACCTAATAAGTGTCTAGTTTGAAATCTAGTGTATGGTCTGTATGTACTGATCTGAACTGCCACCCCATCCCAGGCACTGTGAGAGAAAGCACAGAAATATAATATAAAATGTTACCAGTAGTTCCTATCAGGCTTCCCGGTGGCTCAGACGGTGGGTGAAGAATCCGCCTGCAATATGGGAGTCTGGGTTCAATCCCTGGGTTGGGAAGATTCCCTGGAGGAGGGCATGGCAACCCACTCCAATATTCTTCTGGAGGATCCCCATGGACAGAGGAGCCTGGTTGGTTACAGTCCATGGGGTCACAGAGAGTCAGACACAACTGAGTGACTAAGTACATAGTTCCTACTAGTAATAAGCATAGGCTTATTATAAGCATATATATAATATATATTCATATATAATATAATTGTATAATTATATTATAATTATATAAGTATATAGTTATATTATATATTATATAAATTAATAATTATAATATTATATAATATATATTATACTATATATAAAATATATATAAGCATATATATTATGCTTAGTATAAGCATAATAAGAATAGGCTTATTCTTCTAAGAGTTTGTAAAACTGATTCTATGTATTGAAGGAAAAGTAACTGAAAATCTAGAACTGAGGAATTAATAATGCTGAAGCAAATAGAGACAGCATTCCATCTTGTCTGATATCTTGCTAGAGGGTGGCTGTGGCTGCTTCCCTCGCTGACAGTACATTTATATATATCAATATATGCAGCCAGGGGGTCCAGCAGGCCATACTCTCGCTTGACAGATGGCAGTGGTGGTTAGGTATTTCCAAAATGTGCAGGCTCACCCAGGAAGGGACAGTCTATGCCCTAGCCCAGACCACTTTTTCAGCTTGGAGGGTGAAGAAAGATTAAACTGACCCCTGCTCTATTGCTTGGATTCCATATATTCTGAGAAATGTAATCTAAGAAGTTAAGACTGTTTTATTTCCCTGAAGGAAAATAGCAATATTATTTTTATGTCCGTGTATCACACGGTGGGACAATAGTTTATCAACTATCTATCGCCGCTATTACTATGTGGCTGGGGCTTCCCTAGTAGCTCAGTCAGCAAAGAATCTGCCTGCAGTATAGGAGATCTGGGTTCGATCCCTGGGTTGGGACGATCCCCAATATTCTTGCCTGAGAAATCCCGTGGACAGAGGAGCCTGGCAGGCTCCAGTCCATGGGGTCACAAGTATTGGACACGACTTAGCAACTAAACCACCACCACTGTGTGGCTAGAAATTGATTGTGAGTGCCACAGATGTTTAGAGAAGAAAGAGTTCAATGTGTGTGTGCATAATTTGATTTGAAGGATCAGAGATGTAAGTAACCCCAAAGGATAATGAAAGACATTTCAGCCAGAGGAAGACATTTTAGCCAGAAGCAAGTTATACCTAAATAAATACTAAGTTTAAATCATTGTGTACAGGTGGGGCAGAGAAAGCTTCACAGGAGTTGAGTACTGGGCATCAGGTCTCACTTATTAGAAATGTTCTCATATTCTGTCTAGAGTAAACACTGAGTGGATAGGTATTTATTGAATGTATGAATGAATAAGTGAGAAAGCTTCTGATCACACTACAAGTTTAGTTTTTTAAAAACAACTTATTGGCAGTCTTATAAATCTGAAATTTGGCCTTACTCAGCCTGAAAACGTACAAAGGTTTTTATGTCTCTGGGCAGAGCCAGTCTGACTTGCTTGTTTGACCTGTATGTGCTCGTGTTACATAAGCACTATCCTGCAGTACCACTTATCCAAGAAACAAACATCAGGTGCCACCTGATCTTTTACCATAAGCATTCCCCGAGCCATGGCCTGCAGGCTTGATGTGCATATTAAGAGACCTTGTGATGATGGACAGAATCTGCATTTAATTGAATTAGTATATTGAGAGATTATGTAAATCAACAAACCACATGAATGAAATGTGGTACCTCAGTGTGAAACTGAATCTGCAGGCTAGGCTAATGGAACATGGAATTCAATGAGCTCATTTTGCTCTGCAGGCCGTCTTCACAGATTTGGAAATTCTGGCCGCCATTTTTGCAGCTGCTATCCATGACGTTGATCATCCTGGAGTCTCCAATCAGTTTCTCATCAACACAAGTGAGTTCACCACGAGAATAGTCATTCAAGATAATTGTATGATTCACTGCTTCATTTTTTTTTCCTCCTGATGTTTTCATTATGGATAATAATAAGAGTAATAATGAGGTCATCCTTCCATTCCACTAGACTAGTTAGACCTTTCCTGGATACTGTGTCCAGTCTAGCAACATAATTTTGAGCTGCATGGAGAACTTGGGAAAGGTCAGAGGGGACCCATAAAAAGCACTCAATGTTTGGAAAATACAATATGTGAGGAAAGAGTAACTGATGTGGAATTATCTAGCAAGGACAAGGAAAGGCTTGGAAATAATGTGGTAATAATTTTCAGGATTATGCAGTGCTCTCACAGAGAGCATGGTGTCCCACTAGTGTCCCTTTCTACAGAAGAAGCAGGTCCAAATGTTGGCTCTGAGCATGCGAGCCTCCAAATAGAAATAAGACTCCAGAAAAAGCACTAGAATAGGCTTCTACAATTCAGGGTGGACGGCTGGGTCATTAAAAGTCTCCCACCCTCTCTTCCAACTGCAAAGGTTTGATTATGGACTGGTCAGTAATATGGATTGGTCTGACTTAAGTGACCTTCAGGGTTGGTCCAACCTTAGGATCCCAAGCCCTACTTGAAGCTTTTATCATGCTCAAAACATTCCGTATCCATGCTAATGAAAACCCATCATTTTCCCCAGCACTTCTGAATGCTGAAAACCTAAGTACTTTTCTCTTCTGAGAATATTGTTATCTTGTTGTGGTCAAGATTAACATCAAGTGCTGACAGTTTTAAGAAATGTTGGAGCTACTTGTTGTCAAAGAGCCCTTATCATCCTTTATCATCAGAATATTTGAATGACTAGGTATGAGGTGCCTTGTTTATTTTACCTCATTTTTCCATTGAAAGAACATAAACTTTGGGCAGCTACTTGTCTGTGTAGGTTATATCAGCTGGTGTATTGTGGCATCATGAGTCATCCCATATATAGGCCAGTTCACACAGAAAAATGGCCTTTATGCCAGAGCCATGTACAGCATTACAATACAAAAAAGCCAGCTTGCAGATCTAGGCCCTTGATCACAGGATGAAAGAGACAAGAGTGCTGAAATGACTTCACATTTCCCACCACCTTTTCTGAAGATGTAACTCAAAGCACAGTTAAAACAATGATTTATGACTAATAGCACCTACTGCTAGTAACATATTATCATCACTTGACTATTATTCTTGATTAGGAGAAAATGTTGCTTCATGAGTTTGATGACCGTGTTCTCAACAACAGATCTGTTCTATTTGAACAGATGCTGTTCAAAGGATGCCTGTGATTTTTCTGTGTGAAAGGCAGGCTAGAAGCTATAGTTTAGGTATCCAGATAATGCAGTTTCTGGCATTATAGGGCCCTAGGGCAGTTAACATCACTGACTCGTTGGACATGGGTTTGAGTAAACTCCAGGAGTTGGTGATGGACAGGGAGGCCTGGCGTGCTGCGATTCATGGGATTGCAAAGACTCGGACACGACTGAGCGACTGAACTGAACTGAACTAAGGGCAGAAAATGGGACATCAAGATTGCTGTAAAAAATTATTGTTTTGTTACCATATTTATTAAAAAACTCCAAAAAGCTATATTATTTGGATAAAGTAAAAATTTAAACTCACACCATTATCTTCTTCGAAAATCCAAAACTCACAATTGACAGAGCTGGGAAATATATCAAAAAGTGAAATAATGTGAAAAATTGTAATACCTTGGATAAAATTTAGTGACATTTTCAGTCTATTCTTTTCTGAAGTACAAAATATGTGAAGACATGAAGTTACAAACTGAGATTAAAATAGGATTTAATTGCTTGGGAATGCCCTAACCTAAAATGTCAATCTTCAACTGAAGTGAAAAAGAGAAAAAGGATTTTAAAAATACTATGACTTTTAATCAAAAAGAACATTTATATGCTAATATCTACTAGAAGCTTTTTTTGTTGTTTAAAAACTGATTCTTTTTAGAGGGAGATTCTTTCTTTAAGGGAAAATGACATATAGGGTCTTGGTTCTTGAAATCATTTGGAGAGAACTTGCTCTGATTTCATACTGAGGTAATGTCACTGTTTGAATTGTATCCCTTTTCATTAAATCATCATTTTTCCTTGTTTACTAGATTCAGAACTTGCTTTGATGTATAATGATGAGTCTGTGTTGGAAAACCATCACCTTGCTGTGGGTTTCAAACTGCTCCAAGAAGAACACTGTGACATCTTCCAGAATCTCACCAAGAAGCAACGTCAAACACTCAGGAAGATGGTTATTGACATGGTAAGACTTTGGCCTCCCTGTGATCCTCACTTACTTTTACTTCTGTGGGAAGAGAAAATCCATTCTCCTTGATAAACTGAATTCCTTGAGAGTTTTCTGTTCTTTTCTTTTTTTTTTTAACCCCAGGTCTTAGCAACTGATATGTCCAAACACATGAGCCTGCTGGCAGACCTGAAGACAATGGTAGAAACAAAGAAAGTTACAAGTTCTGGTGTTCTTCTCCTGGACAACTATACTGATCGTATACAGGTATTGGATGGAAGACTTTGATTTAACACAAAGCCACACCAAACTAAATGAAACAAAAACTAAAAAAAGAAAACAAATTTACTTAGTTGCATGTCCTAGGTTACTATTACAACTTCAGGCTCATTTTAAGAACAAGCAAAGGAAAATGGATATTCAAATTGATCCTCTAATTTACAAGGAAAAATAGAACTCTACTTATTGAGTTGCTTAATTCTAAAAACAAACAGCAAAATCTCATTGTAATAGGGTGTACGTGACTGCTGATCCTAAAAGCTTGTGTTTGGATATAAATCCCACTGACTTGAACTTTGTCAGGTCTGTTTTGGTTATACAAATTGCCCTCAGCTGGTCTTCTCTTTCCACAAGTGGAAAATATGAAGACATCTACTTTGAGTAATTCTTTGCATTTTTTCCGAACTGAGGAAAAGAAACTATGGCATCAGTATCTGACCTCTCATGTCCCTTCCAATTTTTAAATTCAGTGACTGTCAATCAAAGAAGACACATTTTCCCTTTTGGGACACTAATAATGGCAAATAACCAACTCTGGCCAGCACCATTGTAATCTTGCCGTTTTGGTGCAAACACCATAATTATAATGCAACTAAAATGTTCTTAGGTCTGGTACCAAGTGTACTAGTACAAGAGGGATGAGATGTTCTAGTAGTATTTATAACCTAATTTTATGGGATTTTCAAAACTTGATGATTTCAGGTCCTTCGCAACATGGTACACTGTGCAGACCTGAGCAACCCCACCAAGTCCCTGGAATTGTATCGACAGTGGACAGACCGCATCATGGAGGAATTTTTCCAGCAGGGAGACAAAGAGCGGGAGAGGGGAATGGAGATCAGCCCCATGTGTGATAAGCACACAGCTTCCGTGGAAAAATCCCAGGTATCTAATATAAGGTTTTTAAGGTTTCTGTAGGCTCTGCTGATGTTTGAACTGGAGGACTCTTTCTAGCTATTTTCTCTTAAATATATATATTTATATTTTTTATATTTATATTTATATTTATATGTATTTATATATATGTATTTATATATATACACACACACACACATATACATGGGCTTCCTGGGTGGCAGCATTAGTGGTAAAGAATCACTTGCTAATGCAGGAGACACAAAAGACATGGGTTCAATCCCTGGGTTAAAAAGATTCCCTGGAGTAGGAAATGGCAACCTGCTCCAGTATTCTTACCTGGACAATTCCATGGGTAGAGGAGCCTGGTGGGCTATATTTCATGGGGCCACAGTGAGTCAAACACAACAGAGCAACTAAGCAGCAATATATATATATGTGTGTGTATATATATATATACACATGTATACATATATATGTGGGTGAGAAATTATAAGGAAGCAACTAATTTAGTTTCATTATACTCATGGCTCATTTGCCTTCTCCATTACACTCAGTTTAACAGTGAGGAGATAAAGCGGTGTTCAGAAAACCCATCAAAGTTTGGATGGTGTATCCTCAGTTTAGATCAGTATCTATGACCCTAGCAAATCCAACTGAGTTAACCGAATGCTGCCATCTCCACCCCATCCCTCCAGGTTTCCCCCAGCTCCATCTTTACCCTTGTTTCCTGAACCTTGTTTTCACTGTCCAGAATCATGCACAGTGCCACCATCACCAGAGGTGGCGAATCTCTTTCCTACATATCTCTTCTGCCTCATGGTCAAAGTCCTGTGCTGTGTCCCAAATATGCATATTTTATACACACACACACACACACACACACACGGGCTTCCCAGGTGGCACTAGTGGTAAAGAATCCACCTGTCAAGGCAGGAGACATAAAAGACTTGGGTTTGATCTATAGATCCAAGTTTGCATCTACACTTCTGAGAATAGGCTGACATCTTTTGGTTGCATGCAAAGTTACAAACTCCCTCTGTGCTGGAGGTACATTACACTGTAGTCAGGGAGATGCGGAGATGCCCCTAGAGGAAAAATATGTAGCACTAGAAAGTATCGATATCCTTACTAGGCTTCAGGGCCAGCTGAGATGCTATTTTTTTCAGAAACAAATAACCTGAGCCAGGCAGTCATAATTCAGATTGTGTCTCTAGGCTGCCTTTATCACAAAATCATTCAGACTATTTTCTGTTAGTGTTTATCCTCTTTCTCCACTACTTTCTACCCCCAAATTTGCATGTAGTTGTAATATCAGTATATAATTCCTTTGCAATTATCACTGTGTTGCTTTTTTTAGAAAACCAATCAAAATGTAAAGTCTATAAAAGTGTCTGTAAGTCTAATATGCCATAAAAACATGTCACATTAAGTTAAGGCCAATTCAAAATCCTCATGCCTTAATTAGAATAAGCTGTTTGTGAATTAGTTAATTAATTAGCCTACTGTCCTTTGATTAGCAACAGAGGGGTATGGTATATAGGTGATGTTCTGTGTGGTTTTCCACAAATTTTCATATACATTATCCCATTTGAACCTCCAAACAGCCTTTTGAGACAGACATAGCAGGTATTTTTGCAGGGTGTCAGGTGAATAAGCTAGCCTCTTGATTCAGTTCACCAGCTCATCCCTGCCCTCCACCCAAAGCACTCTCCATCACTGTGAACAGGTTTCCCTGTTTCCATGACATTGTGGTCCACTGTGGCATTTCCACAGATGGGCTTTGGTGAGCATTGTCTGAGTAGACTGGTAATGAAACCCTTGACTTGGTGCTCTTCAGATTTGTAGTGTCCTCTCACCCCAGGGTCTAGGAAATAAGCAACTAGAAGCTGCCTTTCTTATAAATGCTGAACATTTGGCAAAAGCAAAACAAATGAAGAAAAAAAATGGCTGCACTGTAGTTCAGCTGATTGAATTTTCTCCATTGCCGTGAGCTTTTTTTTTTTTTCAAATCCCTGGAAAACATATTGAAAATAGTATTTTAAAACCCTTAAACACACGTAAAGAATTAAAAGAGAGGAAAGAAGAGTGGGTGGAAGAGAAATATTTGAATCATCTACAGTCGGTCTTATAACCAGTGCAGATCAGAGATTCCCTGACTTTGGTGTGAATTCTGTTAATGCTAGGGAAACACCAGAGAAAAGAATGAAAGAAAGAGAGAGAAAGAGAGGAAGGAAGGAAAGAAAATAGGTAGATAAGAGTCATGCATGGCTAAGGTTCTTTGATATGGTACAACTTGGATGTATGAAATAACTGGCCCAAATCCAGAATGTTAACAAAGAGGTTTCCAGCAGTGTGGAAAGTTAGCTGTGTAATGCCCCATGGGTGCACAGAAGCTGCCCTTGCTCATCTACCCCTGAATCCTGACCCAGCATCTCTCCAGTTCCTCAGACCATAACAGGGGAATTCCATTCTCTCATTCAACTAGCGCCTGTTCTTTCTCTCAACCTGCTCCCACCCGCAATGTTTCCTGTTTGTCCCACAGTGGACGGGTCAGCATTAGGCCACAGAGCCAGCACATGCAGGATGCATAGCCCCTGTGTAAACCATAACAGAACCATAAGCTTCATGTTTCTTCACAGGAACACTAGCAAAGGAACTGCTTAATTGTCCTTATTTTTTCCTTCTTTCTCCCAATGGAAATGATGGTGTGCCCTCTGGATCTAAAACAATTGCAGACATGTCCACAGAGGGGATATTTATTTGTTTAAGAGCTGGAAGTATTTTCAAGTGTTTTACCTACGTCGTCTACAAACCAAAAGCATTCCACAGGACTTGAGACATGCCAGAGTCATCCTGGGCTGGCTCCCTTTCATTTTAAAACCGCGGCATATTTTAAAGTTATCAGGGAAAGAATGTTGAGTCAGAGCTCAGTGGACCAGGGGCTTCCTTCTTCAAAGAATGACTCACAGAACCCAAGGAGTGACAAAGTCATTCCCAGCCAGGGTTATATCCAGACTTCTTATTTGGTACACATCAGAGGGAAAGTAATCAGTTCTGGTGAGACCAGCACAAGGCTTTGGAATCAGACAAAGTTGGGACTGAGTCCCAGCGCCACCACCTACTGGCTCTGTGACCTCTGACAAGATATTTCTGAACCTCAATGAGTCTCACTGAACCTCAGTGAGTCTCCTCAGTTTTCCTTTGTGAATGGTGAATATCCATTCTCAATCTGGGATTAAGAACTCTAATGCATATATTGCCTTTAGTGCAGGGTGTACCATATAGTAAATGCCCAAATAACAGAATCTGGTAGTATTTGATCTTTGTTGGGTTGTTGTGTGTGTGTGTAATTTTTTTTTTTTCCTCTTGCAAACCAGGGCAGCTTGTTTGGTTTTCCAGGGCCCATCACAATAACAGAGATGTAACTTTATTTTCCTTCAGGTGGGTTTCATCGACTACATCGTCCATCCCCTGTGGGAGACCTGGGCGGACCTGGTGCAACCTGATGCCCAGGACATTCTGGATACTTTAGAAGATAACAGGAACTGGTACCAGAGCATGATACCCCAGAGCCCCTCCCCACCTCTGGATGAGCAGAACAGAGACTGCCAAGGCCTGATGGAGAAGTTTCAGTTTGAACTAACCCTCGAAGAGGAGGATTCTGAAGGCCCCGAAAAAGATGGCGAGGGCCACAGCTATTTTGGCAGCACAAAGACGCTCTGTGTGATTGATCCGGAAAATAGGGGTCCTCTGGGAGAGACTGAGGTAGATATCACCACAGAAGACAAGTCCCCGACCGACACATAATCTCCCTCTTCATGCGGAGATGAACATTCCACCCTTGACAAGCATGCCAGCTATATGGTAGGGCCAGCCCACCATGGGGGCCGAGGCCCGCACGGGACAAGGGCCATGTGGCCTTTCCAGTTACTTGAGTTTGGAGCCAGAATGCAAGACCGTGAAGCAAATAGCAGCAGCCCAGGAAATTCCACGGTTGACTTGCCTTGCTTGCAAGCTGAGTGGAGAGCTGAAGCTTTCTGTGGTTCTGGAGGCCAGCTGTGCATCACGACCGAATAGCTTGAAAGTGGAAGACACCAAACTGAGAGATTTTTCTGCACTATGTTTTGGGCATCTGTCCCCTCTGGTGACTGAACTGACTAATAATGTCATTTCTAAATCTGCTTACCTGTCCCCTTGTCTGCCAACCTGTGTGCCTTTTTTGTAAAACATTTTCACGTGTTTAAAATCCTGTTGAATACCTAGAATTTAGTATCAGCTTCTACACAGATAAGCATCACAAGCTGACAAAAACTTTTTTGACTCTTTCTGAGGGGAAAAAAAAAGGAAAGTAAATTGTCTTCCTTCTTTCTTGGGCAATATCTTTTATTCAACTACAGTTACTTTTGCAAATAGAAAGGCTACACTTCTAACCACATTCAACTTCCTTCCCCTATGGTCCCAAACAAGTCCTCAGTTGCCCTTATAACAGATCTCTGCCTGCCTGCTCTGAACAGTACTTTTTCTCCTCTAGAATTGCACTTCTTTGCTGTAAACAGAATAAAGTTGAACAGACTAAGGGGTAGGAATGGGTAGTTGTCTTGTTCACAGTAACAGTCTGTGTAGAATTCAGCTTCACAAGGCAATTGCCCTGTTGGGTCCTGAACCCCTGTGTGGCTGGGGTTGCACGATCCCCATCCTGTTCTCTTGCTCCCCTCTTCATGCTCACACCAGTTACACTGTTTCCAATTTAATGCTGCCGTCTTTCTCTTGCACTGCCTTCTGTGCTAACACCTCCATTTCTGTTTATAACTGTGTATTTATTACTTAATGTATATAATGTAATGTTTTGTAAGTTATTAATTTATATATCTAACATTGCCTGCCAATGGTGGTGTTCAATTTGTGTAGAAGACTCTGCCTAAGAGTTGCAACTTTTCTTGTAACGTTTTGTATTGTGTATTATTATATAACCTGAACATCGCTGAAGAGATGTCCCCCTCGCCAGTTGGGTCTGCCCTTTTCCTGGTCCGAGTTGCTAATACTGCTCAACTCCTTCATGAACTGGTTTTGAAAACAGGATTCTCACATTAGATACTAATGGTTTCTACTGAGCTTTTACTTTTGTATAGTTTGATGGGGCTCAGAGGCAGTGGGCTGTGGTTTTTACCCCTGTTCTATTCAAATCTGTACACACAAGTTGAGTTTTAACTGAGTTCTACTATAATTGAGGCTTCAGTTTAACAAGAAACACTACATTTGGTTTAACAAGCAACTCACCAATCATTCTTCTGAGAGTCCCCAAACTACTGACTTTGAAGAGAAAGCTCCCAGCCTGCCATTAAGCAGGAATGTCAATGTTCCAATTAATTACTAAAGAAAACAATAAAACAATGTGAACTTTACAATGAAATGTGAACTGACATAGTAAATTATGCAAATGTGAAGCTTCTGATAACACTTGTTAGACCTCTGACTGGCTTCAGTCTCTGTAAAATCTATTTCATGCTTTCAGTTCAGCATTGTGACTCAGTACTTCAAGAAATGGCACAACTGTGCATGACCAATGGGTTTCTATGTCTATGAACACTGCTTATTTCAGGTGGACATTTTATTGTTTTCCAAAGTTTCTCACAATGTATGTTATAGTATTATTATTATTATATATTGTGCTCAAATGCATTCTTAAGAGACTTTTATATGAGGTGAATAAACAAAAGCATGATTAGACTGTAGGCCCAATTATTTCATGGTTAGTTCTGATGTATTAAAAGCAGATATTTTTTTCTCTTCTCTCCTACCATACCCCACAAAGAAAACCACCCAGTTAGCTTGGCCAACATCACACCTAAAGTTTCATAATCTGTGTCCAAAAAGGCCCCTAGCTTGGAACATTTACTTTTTTAGCAACTGTTCGACAAGGTCGGTGGTGCAAGAAGGGAGATGGCAAACTAGAAGAAACAAAGCCCCTTTAACAATCTGGAGAGTTTAATCTGCTAGATGAATAAAGGTAACCTCCCCCTTTGTTGGACCCTCTAGAAAAGTGAATCCTAGACTCACAGAACGTTAGCTTGATGTAGTCAGATAGTCCTATTGATTCATTTGACACATGAAGAATCTGAGGCCCAAAGAGTCACGTTAAAGCACAATGCAAGGAGTCCTGGCTGACACTCATGGTCACCTCAGTGATCCGTGGAGTCTCCTGTTGACCATATGGTTATGCTTTTCTTTCTGCAAAGAACTATGTAAATATCATAAGGAAAATAACACTTTGTTGAAAAAGTCTCTGGTTCAAGTACAGAAACAAGGGGAGGGATGAGGTGAGTAAACTCTGCACTCCCAGAGCTTACAATGTGCTGTTGTTGTGCTCATCACTTGCCTTCCAGATCGTAAAATCATAATCATGTTCTCAGGAAAACCACAGTGGAGGTCAATCTAAAAGAAATTTCATCTTCTGGTTCCAAAACATAGACCATAAGTGTAATTGTCCTCCCACTCGATGGCCGGGAGCTACTGTAGAAGCAGAAGTTACTGAGGCATCTTTGCCAAGGCTGAGAGCGATAACTTTTGCTTAACAAAATGCACATGAGCTAAAGACTGATTTACAGACTTAGGAACTGTCAGAGTTGGAAACACACACACATACATGCTGGATGGTGTTTCCCTGACTTACTCCCACAAGCTTATTTTGATATAAATAAATTGGAGGTCATTGTAATTCTCAGTCCACTAAAGGAAGCCCAATGGGGTCCATATGAAGGGAGGTGGTTTACTGTATTGATTCTGGAGCCAAATGACCTAAGTTCAAATTCTAACTCCTTCATTTATTACCTGTCCTGCCATAAATAAGTCACTTGCTCACTGGGCTGCAGTATAATGGGGATTATAAATCTGTCAGATGGGGATAATAAACCCAGGGCTTTTTCTACAATTTCATTGCTACTTCTCTGAGCCTCATGTTGTTCAAGAATGATGAAATCACTGATTGTATGAGCTTTAAAACCTATGAGCCAGGATGGACAAAGATGTCTGGCAAATCCTATTTATCAACCCATGATTTGTGCAGCCTGTACCCCTTACCAAGGATTCTCTACCCTAATTTTCTCTTACATCCTTCAAGATTCATATCAGGTGACCTCTAACGAGACACTTCGCTGATCCCTAAGGTTGGGATAAGGTCACTTTATCTGAGATTCCAGAACATCTTGTGCTTTGACATTAATTAACTGTATAACCCTGGGCAAGGTCCTTAACTCCCCTGGGCCTCAACTTTATCATCTGTAAAATGGAGATAATTATAATGATACCTAGCTCATAATGGATTATGTGAGAATTACACAATCTGATATACATAAAGTTCTAAGAAATGTTATAACTATTAATACCTATTACTATATATTTAAGTTAGGTTTTTGTCATCCCCTAAAGACTATAACTCATTGAAATCAGAAGTTGGATCTTATTCCCTATTGGACTTTAAGTACCCAATCCAATTTCTGGAATAAACATACATTGGGCAAACTAAAGTGAATCAAGTAGTTTTGTGAAAGAGTGAAAGACTTGGAAAAGGTCTCAGGCTTCCCAAAACCAAAAGCCTCAGGCTTTCCAAACCAAAAAAGGTATTGATCTCAGAGCCCTGAAATTATAAGCTATATAATTTCAGAACCAAAGTTTCCTCAGAGATGTTCTGGTCTATGCCTTTCCTTTTAGAAATAAAGGAATTGAGGCCCAAAGGTGGCCAGTGACCTGCTTGAGATGACAGAGTATGTTAGTGTCACAGGTTTGCCATAACCAAGTACCACAAGCTGGATAGTTTAAACAATTGAAATGTTTTGTCTCATAGTCCCAGAGGCTAGAGGTCCAAGGTCACGATATCAAGGTCAATTTCTGTTTAGGACTTCGAGGGAGAATCTGTTTTTGCCTCTCCTCTAGCTTTAGACGATTTGCTGGCAGGCTTTGGCATTTTTATCTTGTAGATGCAGCACCCAAATCTCTGCCTTCATGTTCACATGATATTGTCTCAGTGTGCACATCCGTGTACAAATTTCACTTTTGATAAGTCACCAGTCATACCACGTTAAGGGTCCACTCTGCTGCAATATCACTTTAAGTAGCTATATCTGCCAGAACTGTATTTTCAAACAAAGTCACATTCTGAAGTATTGGAGTTGGTCAAAAAGTTCATTCTGGTTTTTCTATAATGTCTTAGGGAAGAATCCAAATGAACTTTTTGGCCAATGCAATACTAGGGGCTGGCCTTCCCCAGTGGCTCAGCAGTAAAGAACCTGACTGCAATGCAGGAGATGCAGGAGACCCTGGTTTGATCCCTGTGTGGGGAAGATTGCCTGGAGAAGAGGAAAGGCAACCCACTCCAGTATTCTTGCCTGGAGAATCCCATGGACAGAGGAACCTGGTGGGTACAATCCATAAGGTCGAAAAGGGTAGGACAGGACTAAAGCAACTGAGCACAGAACAGTAATACTAGGGGTTAGGTCTTCAACATATAAATTTGAGGGGGATGTAATGCAAACCATAACATACAGTTGCTCACTAGAAGATTTCCTGAGTCCTTCCAAAGGGATATTTCTGCAACATCATGGAATCTGAGGGTCTTAGACATCCATTTGACTTCTTTGCATCTTTGTTGTTGTTCAGTTGCTCAAGCACATCCAGCTCTTTGCAATCCATGGACTGAAGCATGTCAGGCTTCCCTGTCCTTCACCATCTCCTGGAGCTTGCTCAAACTAACGTCTATTGAGTCAGTGATGCCAACCAACCATCTCATCCTCTGTCGTCCCCTACTCCTCCTGCCCTCAATCTTTCCCAGCATCAGGGGCTTTTCCAATGAGTCAGCTCTTCACAACAGTTGACCAAAGTATCGGAGTGTCAGATTCAGCTTCAGTCCTTCCAATGAATATTCAGGGTTGATTTCCTTTAGGATTAACTGGTTTGATCTCCTTGCAGTCCAAGGGACTCTCAAGAGTTTTCCCCAACACCACAGTTCAAAAGCATCAATTCTTTGGCACTCAGCCTTCTTTGTGGTCCAACTCTCACATCCGTACATGATTACTGGAAAAACCATAGCTTTGACTAGGCAGACCTTTGTCAGCAAAGTGACGTCTCTGCTTTTTAATTCACTGCCTAGGTTTGTCATAGCTTTTCTTCCAAGGAGCAAGCATCTTTTCATTTCATGGCTGGAGTCATCATCTGCAGTGATTTTGGAGCCCA